GCGACATGTCTCTGACCGAATTCGCGAGCACAAATCAGATTTGAAACACGGCAGAACGAATTCTTCTACCGTAGCTGATCACTGTTACAACGCTGTGGGTGATCACGATATAATTTTCTCCGATACCAAGGTTCTTTGCAAACCCACGGGTTTTCATCAGAGATTTGTTCACGAGGCAATTCAGATCTACAAACACAGACACAATTTCAAGCGAGAACATGGTTTCAAATTAAGCAACCATTGGAAAGATGTTCTAAATCGAACCTAACATTAAACTAATTTTTCAATGTTACAGTATATTTTTCAAGTAGTGGTACCCCAAACTTTCGCAGCTTCAAATCCCCTTTTCACACCACCAGCATGTGGATGCTGCCGTGCCCCCTCGCCAGACTGCACAGGTCGACCCCTCCCTACCTTTCATCATGCTAAGTACGCCTATTAAAATGCAAATTTTTATGCTAATTCCTTTGTCAAGGCACCTTATTTACTCTCACACAGCTTAAACGTCACGGTCTGAGCTTGGCTGTGTTTCACTCCAGCGCTGTCCTCGAGACAGTCTGGTCCCTTCACCTGATGAGGCCGCTTGTGTTGTGGCCGAAACGTCGTGATTTTTGTTGTTTTATTTTTTACCTACTTGACTTTACCGAATAGAACCAAGAGTATGGATCCTTGCAGTCACGAAAGCTTCAAATCTAGAAGGGCTGGTGTGTTAGAGTTGGGGCTAGGCAGGGCTGGTGTGTTAGAGTTAGGGCTAGGCAGGGCTGGTGTGTTAGAGTTAGGGCTAGGCAGGGCTGGTGTGTTAGAGTTGGGGCTAGGCAGGGCTGGTGTGTTAGAGTTGGGGCTAGGTGGGGTTGGTGTGTTAGAGTTGGGGCTAGGCAGGGTTGGTGTGTTAAAGGTGGGGCTAGGTAGGGCTGGTGTGTTAGAGTTGGGGCTAGGTAGGGCTGGTGTGTTAGAGTTGGGGCTAGGCGGGGCTGGTGTGTTAGAGTTGGGGCTAGGGTGGGCTGGTGTGTTAGAGTTGGGGCTAGGTAGGGCTGGTGTGTTAGAGTTGGGGCTAGGCAGGGTTGGTGTGTTAGAGTTGGGGCTAGGTAGGGCTGGTGTGTTAGAGGTGGGGCTAGGTAGGGCTGGTGTGTTAGAGTTGGGGCTAGATAGGGCTGGTGTGTTAGAGTTGGGGCTAGGCGGGGCTGGTGTGTTAGAGTTGGGGCTAGGTAGGGCTGGTGTGTTAGAGTTGGGGCTAGGTAGGGCTGGTGTGTTAGAATTGGGGCTAGGCAGGGTTGGTGTGTTAGAGTTGGGGCTAGGTAGGGCTGGTGTGTTAGAGTTGGGGCTAGGTAGGGCTGGGCCCCAACTCTAACACACCGCTGATGGTGATGCTGCTGCTAATGATGATGATGCTGATGATGCTGCTACTGATGATGATGCTGCTGCTGATGATGATGCTGATGATGATGCTGATGATGCTGCTGATGATGCTGATGATGATGCTGATGATGCTGATGATGCTGCTGCTGATGATGATTGTGTGATGCTGCTACGATGAGATGCTGCTGATGATGCTGATGATGATGCTGCTACTGATGATGCTACTGATGATGACGCTACTGCTGCTAATGATGATGCTGCTGCTAATGATGATGATGCTGATGATGCTGCTGATGATGATGGTGATGATGCTGATGATGATGCTGATGGTGATGATGATGCTGCTGCTGATGCCACGTGTCTCATCTTCTCCCCCTGTGCAGGGAGCGGGTAGGGTAATTTCCCTCCCTCCTCACCCCCTCCTCACCCCCTCCTCACCCCCTTCCTCACCCCCTTCCTCACCCCCTCCCTCCTCACCCCCCTCCTCACCCCCTCCCTCCTCACCCCCCCTCCTCACCCCCTCCCTCCTCACCCCCTCCCTCCTCACCCCTCCTCACCCCCCTCCCTCCTCACTCCCCTCCCTCCTCACTCCCCCTCACCCCCTCCTCACCTCCCTCCTCACCCCCCTTCCTCCTCACCCCCTCCCTCCTCACCCCCTTCCTCACCCCCTCCCTCCTCACCCCCTCCCTCCTCACCCCCCTCCTCACCCCTCCCTCCTCACCCCTCCCTCCCCCCTTCCCCCCCCGCTCCCACCCACCTAAACAAACAACAACAGATGCCGCTGGTCGCCACTGAGTAGCGGTGACCTCACTACGACGCCTGTGCCAGGCTAGGTGCACTTTGAGGCCATCACGGGACAGACAGCAGGTGCCATGGGTTCTACTGCTGTGCCAGGCTAGGTACAGGAGGAGGTCACGGGACAGACCCAGGTGCCATGGGTTGTACTGCTGTGCCAGGCTAGGTGCAGGAGGAGGTCACGGGACAGACCCAGTGCTACTCACACAATCACCCACTCACACACCACTCACACTCACTCACTCACCCACACACACACCCACCACACTCACCCACTCACTTACCCACACACACTCACTCACCACTCACTCACCCACACACTCAATCACTCATACACTCACTCACTCACCCACTCACTCACTCACCCACACACCCACTCACTCACACACTCACTCACACACACACACACTCACACACCCACACACACACACACTCACTCTCACACTCACTCTCACACTCACCCACTCACTCTCTCACCAACTCACTCACCCACTCACCCACTCACACACTCACCACACACTCACTCACCCAATCACTCACCACCACACACTCACCCACTCACACACCCACACACCCACTCACGCACTCACCCACTCACTCACACTCACTCACCCACTCACTCACACACTCACTCACCCACTCACTCACTCACCCACACACCCACTCACGCACTCACCCACTCACGCACTCACCCACACACCCACACACTCACTCACCCACTCACTCACCCACACACCCACTCACTCACTCACCCACTCACCCACTCACCCACACTCTCACACTCACCCACTCACTCACCAATCACTCACCTACACACTCTCACACTCACCCACTCACTCACCCACACACTCACCACACACTCACCCACACACTCTCACACTCACCCACACACCCCTCACGCACTCACCCACACACTCACTCACCCACTCACTCTCTCACCAACTCACTCACTCATCGGCCCATGTGTTCTCTAGCCCGTGCCACGCCAGCTTAGTCCCCCACCACCCCTCCACCCTCCCCCCCTCTCCCCACCTCTCCCCACCCTCCCCCCACTCTCTCCCCACCCTCCCTCCTCACCCCCTCCTCACCCCCTCCCCACCGCCCCTCCTCACCCCCTCCTCACCCCCTCCGCCTCCCGCCTCTTCGTTTCCGCAGAGGCGTACAGGGAGAGAGGGGGGAGACGCCGATCCATCGTCCAGTGGGAGCCGTCTTCTTCCTCCACCAGGGAGCCCTGCTCCACCAGGGAGCCGTCTTCTTCCTCCACCAGGGAGCCCTGCTCCACCAGGGAGCCGTCTTCTTCCTCCACCAGGGAGCCCTGCTCCATCAGGGAGCCCTGCTCATCAGGGAGCCCTGCTCCATCAGGGAGCCCTGCTCCATCAGGGAGCCCTGCTCCATCAGGGAGCCCTGCTCCATCAGGGAGCCCTGCTCCACCAGGGAGCTGTCTTCTTCCACCACCAGGGAGCCATCCTCTTCCTCCACCAGGGAGCTGTCTTCTTCCTCCACCAGGGAGCCCTGCTCCACCAGGGAGCCCTGCTCCACAGGGAGCCCCTGCTCCACAGGGAGCTGTCTTCTTCCACCACCAGGGAGCCGTTTTCTTTCTCTCCAGGGAGCCCTGCTCCATCAGGGAGCCCTGCTCCACCAGGGAGCCGTCTTCTTCCTCCACCAGGGAGCCCTGCTCCATCAGGGAGCCCTGCTCCATCAGGGAGCCCTGCTCCACCAGGGAGCTGTCTTCTTCCACCACCAGGGAGCCATCCTCTTCCTCCACCAGGGAGTTGTCTTCTTCCTCCACCAGGAGCCCTGCTCCACCAGGGAGCCCTGCTCCACCAGGGAGCCCCTGCTCCACCAGGGAGCTGTCTTCTTCCACACCAGGGAGCCGTTTCCTTCCTCCTCCAGGGTGCCCTGCTCCATCAGGGAGCCCTGCTCCACCAGGAAGCCGTCTTCTTCCTCCACCAGGGAGCCCTGCTCCATCAGGGAGCCCTGCTCCACCAGGGAGCTGTCTTCTTCCACCACCAGGGAGCCATCCTCTTCCTCCACCAGGAGCCGTCTTCTTCCTCCTCCAGGGAGCCCTGCCCCACCAGGAGCACTGCTCCACCAGGCAGCTGACTTCTTCCACCACCAGGAGCCATCCTCTTCTCCACCAGGGAGCCGTCTTCTTCCTCCACCAGGGAGCCCTGCTCCACCAGGGAGCCCTACTCCACCAGGAGCCGTCTTCTTCCTCCATCAGGGAGCCCTGCTCCACCAGGGAGCCCTGCTCCACCAGGCAGCTGTCTTCTTCCTCCACCAGGGAGCCATCCTCTTCCTCCACCAGGGAGCTGTCTTCTTCCTCCACCAGGGAGCCCTGCTCCACCAGGAGCTGTCTTCTTCCTCCACCAGGGAGCCATCCTCTTCCTCACCAGGGAGCTGTCTTCTTCCTCCACCAGGGAGCCCTGCTCCACCAGGCAGCTGTCTTCTTCCTCCACCAGGGAGCCGTCTTTTTCCTCCACCAGGGAGCCGTTTTCTTCCTCCACCAGAGGACCGTCTTCCTCCACCTTGGTGCCGTCCTCCACCAGGCAGCCGTCTTCCTCCACAGAGGGTCTGCTCCACCAGGAGCCCTCCTCCACCAAGGAGCCCTCCTCCACAGGGAGCCCCTCCTCCATCAGGTAGCCCTCATCCACCACAAGGAACTCTCCTCCACCAGCGAACCCTCCTCCACCAGGGAGGCCCTCCTCCACCAAGGAGCCCTCCTCCACCAAGGAGCCCTCCTCCACCAGGGAGCCCCTCCTCCTCCAGGGAGCCCTCCTCCACCAGGAGCCCCTCCTCCACCAGGGAGCCTCCTCCACCAGGGAGCTCCTCCTCCACCAGGAACCTCCTCCGCCAGGGAGCCTCCTTTCCCAGGGAGCCTCCTCCACCAGGGAGCCTCCTCCACCAGGGAGCCTCTCCACCAGGGAGCCTCCTCCACCAGGGAGCCTCCTCCACCAGGGAGCCTCCTCCACCAGGGAGCCTCCTCCACCAGGGAGCCTCCTCCACCAGGGAGCCCCTCCTCTACCAGGGAGCCTCCTCCACCAGGGAGCCCCTCCTCCACCAAGGAGCCCTCCTCCACCAGGGAGCTCTCCTCCACCAGGGAGCCCCTCCTCCACCAGGGAGCCCTCCTCCACCAGGAGCCTCCTCCACCAGGGAGCCTCTCCTCCACCTGCCAGGATGAACCGACGGGGTGAGTAAGAATCTGTGGTGTCTCTGCTCGGTGAGGCGGTGGGGTGAGGAGGTGGGTTGAGGCGCGGGGGTGACGAGGTGAGGTTTGGTGAGGAGGCAGGGTGAGGCAAGGCAGGGTGAGGTGAGTGTGGTGTGGTGAGGCGGGGTGAGGAGGTGGGGTGAGGAGGCAGAGTGAGGCGGTGAGGTTTGGTGAGGAGGTGGGGTGAGGTGTGGTGTGGTGAAGTGTGGTGTGGTGAGGGGGGTGAGGAGGTGGGTGAGGAGGCAGAGTGAGGCGGTAAGGTTTGGTGAGGAGGGGGTGTGGTGAGGAGGCGGGGTGAGGAGGCGGAGTGAGGAGGGGAGGTGGGTGAGGAGGTGTGGTGAGGTGAGGCGGTGAGGAGTGTGGGATGTGGTGAGGTGGGGTGAGGTGGTGAGGTGGGGTGAGGAGGGGTGGTGAGGTGAGGCGAGGCGGTGTGGTGAGGTGGGGTGAGGAGGTGGGATGTGGTGAGGAGGTGGGGTGAGGCGGTGAGGTGGGGTGAGGAAGTGTGGTGAGGTGAGGCGTGTGGTGAGGTGGGGTGAGGAGGGGATGTGGTGAGGAGGTGGGGTGAGGCGGTGAGGTTTGGTGAGGAGATGTGCTGTGTGAGGAGGTGTGGTGAGGAGGTGGGGTTGGTGAGGAGGTGTGGTGAGGCGGTGTGAGGAGGTGTGGTGAGGAGGTGTGGTGAGGAGGCGGGGTGAGGAGGTGGGGTGAGTCGGGGTGAGCGCCTGGAGGTGAAGAGACTCCTGGGTGAGGACTTCGGTGGTGAGGGGATTTGAGGGATCGAGGTGGGGCCAGGTGAGTAGCCAGGTGTGAGGAGCTTTGTTGGTGGTGTTGGTGGTGGTGTTGGTGTTGGTGGTGTTGTTGGTGGTGGTGTTGGTGGTGGTGGTGTTGGTGGTGGTGGTGTTGTTGTTGTTGGTGGTGTGTTGTTGGTGGTGTTGTTGTTGTTGGTGGTGGTGTTGTTGGTGGTGGTGTTGTTGTTGTTGGTGGTGGTGTTGTTGGTGTGTTGTTGGTGTGGTGGTGGTGTTGTGGTGGTGGTGTTGTTGTTGTTGGTGGTGGTGTTGTTTGGTGGTGGTGGTGTTGGTGGTGGTGGTGTTGTTGTTGTTGGTGGTGGTGTTGTTGGTGGTGTTGTTGGTGGTGGGTGTTGTTGGTGGTGGTGGTGTTGTTGTTGGTGGTGGTGTTGTTGGTGGTGGTTTGTTGGTGGTGGTTTTGTTGGTGGTGGTGTTGTTGTTGTTGGTGGTGGTGTTGTTGGTTGTGGTGTTGGTGTTGGTGTTGTTGTTGGTGGTGGTGTTGTTGTTGGTGGTGCTGTTGGTGGTGTTGTTGGTGGTGGTTAGTGGTGCTAGTGGTGGTGTTGTTGGTGGTGTTGTTGGTGGTGGTGTTGTTGGTGGTGGTGTTGTTGGTGGTGGTGTTGTTGGTGGTGGTGTTGGTGGTGGTGGGTGTTGGGTGTGTGTTGTTGGTGGTGGTGGTGTTGTTGTTGGTGGTGTTGTTGGTGGTGGTGTTGTTGGTGTGGTGTTGTTGGTGGTGGTGTTGGTGATGGTGGTGTTGGTGGTGGTGTTGTTGTGGTGGTGTTGTTGTTGGTGGTGTTGGTGGTGTTGTTGGTGTTGGTGGTGGTGGTGTTGTTGTTGGTGGTGGTGGTGGTGTTGGTGGTGTGTTGTTGTTGGTGGTGGTGTTGTTGGTGGTGTGTTGTTGTTGTTGGTGGTGTGTTGGTGGTGGTGTTGGTGTTGGTGTTGTTGTTGTTGGTGTTGTTGGTGGGGTGTTGTTGTTGGTGGTGGTGTTGGTGGTGGTGTTGATGGTGGTGGTGTTGTTGGTGGTGGTGTTGTGTTGGGTTGTTGTTGGTGGTGGTGGTGTGTGTTGTTGTTGTTGGTGGTGTTGTTGTTGTGGTGTTGTTGTTGGTGGTGTTGTTGGTGGTGGTGTTGGTGTTGGTGGTGTTGGTGGTGGTGGTGTTGGTGGTGGTGGTTGTTGGTGGTGGTGTTGTTGTGGTGTTGGTGGTGTGTTGGTGTGGTGTTGGTGGTGGTGGTGGTTGTTGGTGGTGTTGTTGTTGGTGTTGTTGGTGGTGGTGTGTTTGTTGTGTGGTGTGGTGGTGGTGGTGTTGGTGGTGTTGTGTTGGTGTGTTGGTGGGTGGTGGTGTTGGTGTGTTGGGGGTGTTTTGGTGTGGTTGTGGTGGTGTTGTTGGTGGTGGTGGTGGTGGTGTGTTGGTGTGGTGGTGTTGATGGTGGTGGTGTTGTGGTGGTGGTGGTTGGTTGTGTGGTGGTGGTGTTGGTGGTGTTGTGGTGTGTTGGTGGTGTGGTGGTGTTGTTGTTGGTGGTGGTGGTGTGTTGTTGGTGGTGGTTGGTGGTGTTGTTGGTGGTGGTGTTGTTGGGTGGTTGGTGGTGTGTGGTGGTGGTGTTGTTGGTGGTGGTGGTGTGTTGTTGGTGGTGGTGGTGTGTGTTGTTGGTGGTGTGTTGTGTGGTGGTGTGGTGGTGTTGGTGTTGTGTTGGTGGTGTGGTGGTGGTGTTGTTGGTGGTTGGTGGTGGGTTGTTGGTGTGTTGGTGGTGGTGGTGGTGGTGTTGTTGGTGGTGTGTTGTTGTTGGGTGGTGTTGGTGGTGTGGTGTTGTTGGTGGGGTGGTGTTGTTGGTGGTGTTGTTGTGGTGGTGGTGTTGTTGGTGGTGGTGTTGTTGGTGGTGGTGTTGTTGGTGGTGGTGTTGTTGTTTTGGTGGTGTGGTGTGTGTTGGTGGTGTTGTTGTTGGTGGTGGTGTTGTGGTGGTGGTGTTGTTGGTGGTGGTGTGTTGTTGGTGGTTTGTTGGTGGTGGTGGTGTTGTTGGTGGTGGTGTTGTTGGTGGTGGTGGTGTTGTTGGTGGTGGTGTTGTTGTGGTGGTGTGTTGGTGGTGGTGTTGTTGGTGGTGGTGTTGTTGGTGGTGTTGTTGGTGGTGGTGGTGTTGTTGGTGGTGGTGTTGTTGTTGGTGTGGTGTTGTTGGTGGTGGTGTTGTTGGTGGTGGTGTTGGTGGTGGGTTGTTGGTGGTGGTGTTGTGGTGGTGGTGTTGTGTTGGTGGTGGTGTTGGTGGTGTGGTGTTGTGTTGTTGGTGGTGGTGTTGGTGGTGGTGGTGTTGTTGTTGGTGGTGGTGTTTGGTGGTGTTGGTGGTGTTGTTGGTGGTGGTGGTGTTGTTGGTGGTGTTGTTGGTGGTGGTGGTGTTGGTGGTGGTGGTGTTGTGTTGGTGGTGGTGGTGTTGTGTGGGGTTGTTGTGGTGGTGGTGTTGGTGTTGGTGTTGTTGGTGGTGTTGTTGGTGTTGGTGTTGTTGGTGGTGTGTTGTTGGTGGTGGTGTTGTGTTGGTGTTGTTGGTGGTGTTGTTGGTGGTGGTGTTGTTGGTGGTGGTGTTGTTGTTGTTGGTGGTGGTGTTGTTGGTGGTGGTGTTGGTGTTGGTGGTGTTGTTGTTGGTGTGTTGGTGGTGTTGGTGGTGGTGGTGGTTGTTGGTGGTGGTTTTGTTGTTGGTGGTGGTGTTGTGGTGGTGTGTGTGTTGTTGGTGGTGTTGTTGTTGGTGGTTGTTGTTGGTTTTTGTTTGTTGTTGGTGGTGTTGTTGTTGGTGGTGGTTGTTGGTGGTGGGTGGGTGGTGGTGTTGTTGGTGGTGGTGTTGGTGGTGTTGGTGGTGTTGTTGGTGGGTGTTGTGGTGGTGGTGTTGTTGGTGGTGGTGTTGTTGGTGGTGGTGTTGTTGTTGGTGGTGGTGTTGTTGTTGGTGGTGTTGTTGTTGGTGGTGTGTTGTTGTGGTGGTGTTGTTGGTGGTGGTGTTGTTGGTGGTGGTGGTGTTGTTGGTGGTGTTGTTGGTGGTGGTGGTGTTGTTGGTGGTGGTGTTGTTGGTGGTGGTGTTGTTGTTGGTGGTGGTGGTGTTGTTGTTGGTGGTGTTGTTGTTGGTGGTGGTGTTGTTGGTGGTGGTGTTGTTGGTGGTGGTGGTGTGTTGGTGGTGTTGTTGGTGGTGGTGGTGTTGTTGGTGGTGGTGTTGTTGGTGGTGGTGTTGTTGTTGGTGGTGTTGTTGGTGGTGGTGTTGTTGGTGGTGGTGTTGTTGGTGGTGGTGTTGTTGGTGGTGTTGTTGGTGGTGGTGGTGTTGTTGGTGGTGGTGTTGGTGGTGGTGTTGTGGTGGTGGTGTTGTTGGTGGTGGTGTTGGTGGTGGTGTTGTTGGTGGTGGTGTTGTTGGTGGTGGTGGTGTTGGTGGTGGTGGTGTTGTTGGTGGTGGTGGTGTTGGTGGTGGTGGTGTTGTTGTTGGTGGTGGTGTTGGTGGTGGTGTTGGTGGTGGTGGTGTTGTTGGTGGTGGTGTTGTTGGTGGTGTTGTTGGTGGTGGTGGTGTTGGTGGTGGTGGTGTTGTTGGTGGTGGTGGTGGTGTTGTTGGTGGTGTTGTTGGTGTGGTGTTGGTGTTGGTGTGTTGGTGGTGTTGTTGGTGGTGGTGTTGTTGTGTGGTGGTGTTGTTGTTGTGGTGGTGGTGTTGTTGGTGTTGTTGGTGGTGTTGTTGGTGGTGGTGTTGTTGGTGGTGGTGTTGTTGTTGTTGGTGGTGTGTTGTTGGTGGTGGTGTTGGTGTTGGTGGTTTGTTGTTGGTGGTGTTGGTGGTGTTGGGGTGGTGGTGGTGGTTGTTGGTGGTGGTGTGTTGTTGGTGGTGGTGTTGTTGGTGGTGGTGTTGTTGTTGTTGGTGGTGGTGTTTGTGGTGGTGGTGTTGTTGTTGTGGTGGTGGTGGTGTTGTTGGTGGTGGTGTTGGTGTTGTTGGTGGTGGTGTTGTTGGTGGTGTTGGTGGTGTTGGTGGTGGTGGTTGTTGGTGGTGGTGTTGTTGTTGGTGGTGGTGTGTTGTGGTGGTGGTGGTTGTGTTGTTGGTGGTGGTGTTGTTGGTGGTGGTGTTGTTGTTGTTGGTGGTGTTGTTGGTGGTGGTGTTGGTGTTGTTGGTGGTGGTGTTGTTGTTGGTGGTGGTGGTGTTGTGTTGGTGGTGGTGTTGTTGGTGGTGGTGGTGTTGTTGGTGGTGGTGTTGGTGATGGTGGTG